TATTTACACCCTTAAATATGCAATAGTGAATTTTATTAATAACGATCTTATATGAAGATAGAAAAATAATGATGAGACCCGAAAATTTATAAACTATTGCTAAAACAAAAAATAGTGATACAGTGAAGAAGTGAATCACTGAGCCTATTCATATCGATATGTATTTTATTTAAACCAGATCCCAGGTCAATAATCCTAGACCCCAGATCATTAATCCCAGACCCAGGTCATTAATCCTAGACCCAGGGTTCGGGTTATTGGATCCGAACCCTTTCCTAATATGAAGGGACAAAGGTAAAGACCCAATAAAAGATAAATTCGTTGCTGTGAAACAGTTGCAATAGAGTTTATCTTTGATTTCTTTTGGATCTGAATTAATGGTTACTTTGTAATGATTCTACATACAAAGAAAGAATTTGTAATTGTAAAATTTTATACAAAAATATATTACAATAAATTACCTCAGAACCACATTATATTCGTTTATTATTTGTTTTTTCTTTTTTATGTTGATGCAATTTCTTTATTTATCTTTTGAGAATTGAATGCAATATACGACTTGATTTTTGTGGACTTAGCTCTACTGGATGAAAAGGATCTGTGCAATAGTAATGATAATGATAATAGCTGGTACAGATAATGTGTCTAACATAAATTGTGTGTACACATTGTAAAGAGTTCTAGTACCAAATAATCTAATTTTATTATTTCAGTATGCTAATTTTTTTTTTTGAATCAGCATTCATCACTCAATTTACATTATTTATTATCAATATATAATATGACAATAAAAAATTATTTCAAATAATCATTATTATTGATATTTTTCTATGCTTTTTTTTTCTGTAATTTAATTTAATTCATTCCACACAAATGCTAATACTACACATAACATTCCTGTACATAAATTAAAAAATAAAATAATAATCATAATAATAATATTAATATTATTTTCATATATAAATAAATATTCTAAAATTCATACAAAAATTTTCTTACCTATATACATCTGCCACTGTCTTCTAATGATAAACCATAATTTCATTTCTTGTTCTGCTTTATCCAAATGAAATGTTGCTACACTTCCATTATCAAACAAAGTAACTATTACATAATATTATATAATGTTTATAATATTACATAATATTATGTATTGTATATAATATTATAGATTGTTAGTAAAATAAAAGTAAATTGTTAAAAGAAAAAAACAATCATTAAATATTTACGTAAAATATTTCCTGTATTCTTTATTCCATTATTATTATCCAAATTAAGTTTTGAAATATTTATTGGTCTCACTGCAATAACATCCTGAACAAAAGTACATTTGGTCAAAAAATTATTATTATTATTATTTTTCAGTCAAAAAGTTAATATTACAAGCGTATTTAAAACTTACCAATTCATATAAATCAGATTGACTTATAAAATCCAAATATGGTGCTGTTATAACCATTTTCAATTCCCAACTTTCTCCATTAGCATTTGCTATATTATTTATTTATAATCCTTCTGTTAGTCTATCAAACTATTCTTTTTTCTTTTTTCAATTATGAGAATAAAGAAAATTATGATTATTAGCAACACCTCTTTTATATATCAGAATATAATTTTCCTTTTCATTAAAAAAATAAAAATAAAAAATAAAAGAATATTAATTTTAAAATTCTAATTATAATAATATTAATAATAATATAAATAGTAATAATTTACCTGAGTGACAAGTAATAATAAATTTCCATTAGGATTAATTTCCATTCCAATAACTTGAAAAGGCCATTCTTCAATTAGTGGTAAATGTTCAACACCAACTGTATAAGCTTCTTTACTCTTTGATTTTTGTTCTGATGAAGTAGTGTTTCTATAATCAAATGTAAATAATGCATTATTCAAAGCGATACATATTGTGGTAACATTACGAGCAGTTACTTTGTAAAGAAATTTAATAAATCAATTTTTATTAATATTAATATTCTTATGAAAGTTTTAAATAAATTTAAAGAATAAAAAAAAATTTTTTTTTTGTTTTTATAAAATTTACCAACGATTAATTTTGGAATTGATAAAGGAGAATTCATTGTCATTCCTTGTACAAAATCATATTCTTCTTTTTTGGAAGTGGGTGATTTATACTATTAGAACATCAGAAATATCAGAAATACATAAATAAATTTTTCATTAAACAATTAATTTATAAATTTCTTTTGACATACCGCAATTAAGGATTTTGTTCCCCAATTGTTAATTTGTGACCTATCAGAATCTTCAGATAAAGATGAATTATGGACTATAACTTTGAAATTCCATAATTCATCATTTGCAGTAATTTCTGCTTGCATGACACGTATCACATCTGGACTTTTTATATAAATAAAAAGAATATTGATAAATAGAAATTATTTAAAATTGTTTGGTGAAACAAATAAAGAATGAATTTTGAAAGATCTTTACACAGAATAAACACGTCGAAAGATTGTAGATTTCATCGTGATGATATCTTGCCTTACCAATTCTAATTTCAAATAAATAAATAAATAAAGTAAAATTAAATAAAAATGAATTGATTTGAATAATTTGAACAGAAAAAATTATTCAAAAATTATTTCAAAAAAATTGAAACACCTACTTTGTAATGGACCAGGTTCACTGGATTTAAGAATTATTGGTTCATTTTTTTTCTTTGATATTTCAAATATATTTATAGGTATTTGAATAGTTCTAAATTTTGAATCATCATGATTCCTTTTAAAAATTTATTTAATACGATTATCATTTAATATAATTATTTGATATGATAAATTATTTCATTTGAAGAAGAAAAAGAAATACCTTGAATATAATATCAAAGAGTTCGCAACGTGAAAGGACATAATTTTTGTTGTTCCTGGTAATATCATATCTTGATATTTAAATGGAGGAGCCACGTGACATGTGTGAAAAGAATTTTTTGTACATGACTCTAAATCAAATTAAAAAAATATGGATAGATAGATAGATAGATATATTAAAATAATTATTTAATAAAAACAAATAAATAAAGTAAATAAAATTTCTTCCTTACTAAAATCATCAAAGTCATCTTCTAAATTTTCTAAATTATATAATCTCAAAACATATTGATTTCGTTCATTCTCTAATCTTTGATATAATATTGCCAATGCATTGTTTTCATTATATTCTAAATCTGATGTTGGATTTGAAATGTTTTTGTGATAATAACTTGATATATGAGTTATTGGTCCTTCTAGATGATGAACATATAGAATTTGCCATTCTATTGATTTTTTTTTTTTTTTTAAAAAAAAAAAAAAGGATAAAATTTAACCAAATTCTTTCTGAATCATTTATGAATTATTTTATGAATTATTTTTTTCTAAAAATACCATTATTTGGATCGAAATTGTTATCAGATGATAAAAGTAGATGCAGTGGTCTCTTATATTGTTTAACCACACCTATAAAAATTCAAAATAATAAAAAAGTTCAAATAAAAAAAATAAAAAATTCAATAAAAAATTCAACAAAAAAATTCAAAAAGAAATTTAAAATAAATAAAACGTACCCCGGACATCTCCAATAACTTCATATTCTTTCCATACAGCAGTTAAGTATATCCAATCATCTTTAATATATATAAATACTCCGTCGGGTTTAGGTTCCATAAATATTTTACTTTGAACAAAGGCAATATTTTTTGGATATGGATGAGGTGGTGAATGTATGGATATTATCCAATAAATAAAGGTTATTCCCACGGCCAACATAATCAAAGGTCGATATCGTGTCATTTTTATTACTTATGGAAGAAAAATATTATTCCGTATCACTCGGAGAATTCTGAGAATTTCGAAAAAAAATTTGAAAGAATGTTTTTCACTGCCTAAAAAAATATAGTGTGACTGAATTCTTTAAATGCTCCAATTATGGAAAATGACATACTAGTTCTAATTATATACATATTTTTTTTTGAAATTGAATAATAAAATAATGATCTATAAACAATAATTTAATTAAACCGGGGAAGAATTGGTTATTCTTAGTCAAGAGGATTTGTCTATCAGAAATTTTGAAGCAATGTCCCCGATAAGGAACACAATCAAGCAAATTTTTTTCCCACTGATTCGATGAATTTTGTTGATTTTGATATTGATAATGGATGTGAATATTGTTATCTGAGATGAAAACGAAGAAACTATGATGGTAATAAAGGAGTCATTCTGGTCGTAATATTTGTAATGTAATAGATTTATTTATTGGATTTATTAGATTTGATGGTTGAATTTTCAATTTTTAAAAAAAATTTGAAAATTGCAAAATATAAAAAATATAAATTCTTTTTATTCTCCAACCTGAATAATTATTATTTTATTTAGCACAAACTAAAAGAAGAGAATGAGCAATATTATATTTAATGGAAAGCACTCTGTTTATTTATCTATGATTTTTATAATTATAATTGAATTATTATGTGTATATATATAATTTTAACATTACATTTTCTTTATTTCAATAACTAATAACTGCTAGTATTTATACCCTAGAATCAATGAAGTAGCTTCTCGAGTTAAATTAAAAATTTTTGTAAAGATCATTCGATATCATTCGTGTATTATTTTATAACATTCGTAAGCTTTAAAACGCGAGTGACGTTTTTCAGTTTATGTAAATTATCTTGGGTACTGGTCATACATATATTATCATATTAAGAAGCCACAGTATTTATTATGTCTAACCAGATCCACGTGATTATTTATTATCTATTTCGATTGGGAATCTTAACCTAAACCTATGCCCTCACATGTCGTTATGTTAAATGACATGGGTTAGGGTTAGGTTTTCAGGGGAAGTGTATTTATCACCATGCATCATACCTTTCGAATATCGATTTTTATTAAATATCCTGGGACTTGGACCATATTGTCATCCTATATTTGTCACCTAGAATATATCACATGAATCTTCACATGAAATCACCTGCCAAATTATGAACCAATAAAATTCGAAAGGATCTAGGATAAAAATCTAGACCCCCGGGTCAAGGATAATATCCTAAACCGGGGGGGACTAGATTAAGGATTCTTATTTCAAGTGATTAACAAATGATTTACATTAATATTTTCCTATATAATATATACTAATAAAAATATGAAATTGAACTAATAAAATATAGTTATAAATAAACTAATACAGTCAAGTCTCTCTATAATTACACTCTATATAATCACTTTTTTTTATAATCACTACAACTTCTAGAACAAACAAAATTTCTAATTAAAAGTATCTTATATAATCACATTTTGTCTATAATCACTATTACCAATTTTTTTGAGCACTGTACTTAGTAATGCTCCTCCCATGTAATTACCAATTATTTAAAGTATATTACTTTCTAAAAAAAACAAAAAAGAATTAAAAAAAGTGTAATAAATGACTTTTAGCATATTGATATTTATACATATGCAATATAACATTTTTCAATAAATTATAATAACATTGTAGTTTTCTTTAGTTCAAAATATGATCTTAATATCGAAAGATCTACTATCACTAAAATTCTATCACAACAAAAGAAATGGCTCTCTTCTGAAACCTCTACAATTGTAAAACATTGTGATATCAAATTTTCCTTACTTGAGAAAGCTTTAACATATTGAACTAATCAAGTTATTATAGGTGATATGATAATTTCTAATGAAATTCTTCAAAAAAAAGGAAGAGAATTTGTAACTCATTTTAATATTGAAGAAAATCAATTACATTTTTTCAAAGGCTAGCTAACAAAATTTAAAAAAAGAAATAATATTCATATATATAAGTTATATGGTAAAGTTGAATCTGTACCTTTGGAATCTTTAGCTGAAAAATACTTAAAATTACAAAAATTATTATCAAAATATAATTCAGAAGATGTTTATAATACTGATGAAACTGGATTTTTTTTCAGAATGGTACCTAATTAAACTTTAGCAAAATAAAAAAAAAGTAGAAAAAAATTAGTAAAAGAATTTATAAAAAATTAAATTATTTTTTAAATTATTGTACTAATATTTTTATTATTAATTTACTTAAGAATAAAATCAGAGTTACAGTATTATTTGCTACAAATATTACAGGAACATACAAGTTAAAACCATTGGTAATTGACTATAATAAAAATTCTCAATGTTTCAAAAATATCAATGTTACAAGTTTATCAGTAATATATAAATATAATAGCAAAACATAGATATGTAATAATATTTAAGAATCATGATTAAAATATTATGATAAAGGATTTCAAATTCAAAATCACCAGATTCTTTTGTTAGTAGATAATGCACCTTCCTATACTAGTCCTGTAAAAAATAATTCTAGTAAAAATGACTCAGATTCAGATTTAATTCTAGAATCTTCAAATAATAAATAAAAAAAAATATCAGAAAAAAATAAGCAACAATCTAAAGATAATGAATCTTTTACTTTAACCAATATTAAAATTTATTATCTTCTTTTCAATATAATATCTCATATTTAACCATTAGATGTAGGAATTATTAAAAGTTTTAAAACAAAATATAAACATTATTTCTGTAAATATGTATTAAATCAATATGAAGAAAATATTGATTATGAAAAGTAAGTAATTTTTTATAAATTAATTTATTTAATATTTCTGACATTTACATTTATATCAATTTAAAAATAAAATTAATATATTACAAACAATTGAATATATTTCTCATTTATGGGATAATGTTATAGTGATGATTATACATTGATTTTGGATTTTTGAGGTATTTCGACTTTTTGAGATTTATGCAAAATCTATTCTATATATGGAAGTAAAAAAAGTACCTAGTTATATGTATCTTTAATCAAAGAATAAATCTGGGTGATCAAAAAATTTCAGGTTTTATGTAAAATAATTTTGTCTTCTATGAAAAACTATTTTAACTTTTTTCTCCGAAATTGTAATTTCGGGACCCCAAAATAATTTTGCGTGTAAGTATAGTGATGACAATACAAAATTGTTAGCACAAAACTGGAATTTTATCAAATTTAGAATATAATCAATATGATGCAACAACAATAAATCAAGAGTATACCAATGAAACTATTGATTTAACAAATATTTATAAAAATCAATTTCAAGAAAATGCAACTTAGCATCAAGAAATTTAATTAAGCATAGATTTACAGAAACATCACATGACCTCCAAAAATTTACACCTGAAAAATTTGATTTTTTAACTTTGGTCGAGATTTAGATGACAAGGAGCAATTTTCTACTAAGATATTTCTAAGATAGATCGAAAGTCCTGGTTTTTTGCTATAAGATAATATATGTTTCATTAGTATAGCATTGATATTCGCGGAAAAATTCACGTTTAAATTCAAGCATCTGTGAAAATTTATACCATAATCTTTTTGTAATTTTTGTAATTCTGTTGAAAATTTTTATGACATTGTTACTATGGGTTTCCTCCACTTTCATAATTTCTTATTATTTTATTTTATTCTTATTTGTATTTATTTTAATAGTATAGTTATTTAGTATATTTTAGTATATTAGTATATTTATTTATTAGTATTTATTTATTTAGTAGCATAATACGAATTATGTAAATTAATAATGTAGATCATAGTGGCCCAGTTACTGGCCAATTTACTGACCAATTTAGTGGCCAACTGATTGACCAACTCAA